AATATCACTTTGTTGCCCAGGCTAGAGTGAGTGCCATGGCGTCAGCCTAGCTCATAGCAACCTCAAACCCCTGGGCTCAAGGGATCCTACTGCCTCAGCCTCCCGAGTAGCTGGGACTACAGGCGTGCGCCACCATGCCCAGATAATTTTTTCTACATATATTAGTTGGCCAATTAATTTCTTTGTATTTATAGTAGAGACGGGGTCTTGCTCTTGCTCAGGCTAGTTTCGAACTCCTGACCTCGAGCAGTCCGCCCGCCTAGGCCTCCCAGAGTGCTAGGATTACAGGCGTGAGCCACCGCGCCCAGCCTGCAGTACATTTTCTGATAGAGGTGAGAAGTAAGTGATGTGAGAAAATATAAGACGGGTATCTAACTCAGAGTTGGGGCTTAGAGTCTTCTCATAGAAGTTGAGGTTAAACTCAGGACAGGGCAAAATGCAGAGGGGAATACAAAATAGTCTTTTCTACTCTCTTAACCACAGAGTTCTACATAGTCATGGGTTTGGTTTATTTTAAGAGATGTTACTTTTCATATTTTCCAATTCTATGCTTTACTTTAACTGGTAATAAGTGAGGCAGATTATTTTATTCACAATACAAATGTAATAATTTTATTTTAGGAGTAATTTTTCAGTTGAAAATTCCTAAAGAAAGTGTTGGTAGAATGTATGCATTCCTATACTGCAGTTACACTTCTTCTCTTTATACTTGTGTATGTTTTTTACATTTAAAGAAAATTTGTAAATATATGCACACATATATATTACATGATATTTATAGTATATACATATATAGGTATGTTTTTCCTCCTATAGAATTACTCTTTGGATCAGGACTTCATACCCCACATATTCCAGGGTCAGATGATGATATCTTCTCTAGATCTTACATTTTAGATCTTTGCAATTCTTCCCTCATAAAAAAACACTGCTTCTTTGGGCATTCATGTTATCTAGATACTCCACCTTACAATGTGCCTCGTTTGCAACCACTAGAACATTCCTCTTTATTTAATGGAAATCTTGCTCTGGATTTAGTCTTCCTTTCCACCTGAACTGCTGTCTGGGTTACTTCTGTGACTGATTCGTCTACAACCTTGGCCTTGAATTTTATTGATCTTCTCATCTCTAGGGATTGCCTCTTCTCCACTCTAACACTCAGTCTCATAGCCCACATTTGGTTACTTACCAACCAAAACTGATTTACTGCTGAAGTTATCAATTCACTTTGATCCACTAAACATACTACTTCCTATATAACCATGTTCCTCAATCATCTGCTTCCTATTTTAACAAAATTTCCGATCGATATAATTTATTTCTTTCCTAAATTTATTTTCCTCCCTCTTCATCATGTTATCATTCTTAAACCTTTCTCTTGCCAATATCCTCTAATTCCTCCCCCAACTTTCTTTCTCTAGTTATCCACTTTTCTTCTCACTCTAAGCAGATGACATGATATTTCATTTCACAGAGAAAATGGAAAGCCTAAGAGCTCCCAGCTTCTTACCACGAAACCTACTTATATCTGCACTCATTCTGGTTTGTTTGTTCTTACTGTTTATAATGGGAAGAGTCTTGTCCTCAAGGAGTGGAAAAATCTGCCTTCGAAACCAGGTGGATAATATAACTATGTGAAGCATTAGGGTAAAGAGTAGGCTGTGGCCTGTGGCAAATTGATAAGAGCCATCTAAAAGTTTCAAGTTTTTGATACTCTGTATTAGCTGGAAAAAAGCCTGCCATGATGATCTGGCTTCTGATCTAAGTTTAATCTCCATATCTAAGCTCTGGACCCCATCCCCTGTAGCTTTCTTAGGGGCTTTACCCTCCTGAGAATGCCCTCTTTTCTTCAACATTAATCTCTTTTGCTATTAGTTCTTTGCAATCAGTACTCGAATATTTTTAAGCTTAGGTTTCAGCTTTTAAAAACTTCATTAAGGCTGGGCACTGTAGTACATACCTATAATCCTAGTGCTTTAGGAGGCCAAAGCAAGAGTATCGCTTGATGACAGGAGTACCACATGACACCAGGAGTTTGAGACCATCTGGGCAACATAGCAGTAAGACCTCATCTCTATAAGAAGTTTTTTAATGTCAGGCCTGGTGGCATGTGCCTGTAATCCCAGCTACTCAGGAGACTGAGGTGGCAGGATCACTTGAGCCCAGGAGTTCGAGGTTACAGTGAGCTACGATCATGCCACTGTATTCCAGCCTGGGCAACAGAGCAAAACTGTCTCTCTCTAAAAAAAAACAACAACAACAACAACAAAAAACGTTCATTAGCCCTGTTTGCTTTTCTAGTTACTGCACTTTTTCCCTTTTCCACTTATACTGTGAAATTGTAGAAAGAGAGAGAGTTGCCTACAGCTTTGGTATTTGGTAAACTTAGATTGGACTCTTCATTCTACTGCTATGAGCTCTGAGACTTTTCTCTCCAAGCCTCAGTTTTCTCATCTGTGAAAATGAGGATAATCTTTATACTAAATCATATAGTTAAGTATTAAGTGAGAAAATAGCCCCAAATGACATACTGAGTCTTCAGATATATTTGCTTTTAGTCTGTGCCACTCTGCCTTCTATCCCTACCCCTAAATACTTTTAAGACTTTTTGTTGTTCTTTGTTTCTCAGTAGCGTTTCTCAATACTACTCGGTGTTTCTCCATACTATCAACTGCCTCAGCATTTTCTTCTACTGTTGGACCTGACACACAACTCTGGCTTATCCTTTGCTTCTGTGAATGTTCCCTTGAGTTCTTTGGGTTATTTTGCCTTTTACCTATCCTTTAAGTGTTCATATTCTTCATGTTTATATTCCTCAAGATTCTGTCATTGTCTTTGTGCAGTTATTAAAGTTGAACTGTTAATTTGGTAATGACATCTCTAGAAGCCAAAGCAAAGAGGAAGCATTATAACAATGTTAGTTTACAGTTAATGAGCATTTACTACATGTTATGCATTTTTATAAGCACTTTACATGTATTATATTTGATATAATCTTCACCAAGACTCTCTGAGACAGGACACTGAAGTACAGAAAGATAAACTAAACTGCCCATAGTCTTCTTGTAAGGATTCAATTCTAGACAGTTGAATTCTGGAGTTTGTCTTCCTAACCATAGCAGTCTAATTTCATCCAAACAGTTACATGACTAGTAGTGTTTAGAAGGGTGAAGCATTCTTCAGGGGAACTAACTTAGGTCTTAGGTAGGATGTAGGTCTGAAATGATGTTTGTGATGATCCTTTGGGAAGTGATAGAGTATCTTTAGCGATAATCCTATAGTAAATACCATAATAATACTCCACTCTCATGGAGAACTTCAGTGTGGAAGAAAAACATAATATTCTGCCAAAGTACAGCACAGTGAATATGATTTTTCCATATTACAGCTCTCAAACAGCTCTTTTATAGAAATTTGGGAGCTAACATTTCAAATTTGCTTAATAGTTTAAGGAGGACAAAAACTGTCTACTTACCTTTGTATCTACAGTGCCTAGGCCAGGACCAGTAACACATAAATAATTTAGCTGTATGTGTGGCTTAAATGTGACCACACTTAGCTGGTCAGCTACTTAAGAAGAAATAACTTAAGATAGGATGTACTTAACATGCTTGGTTCTGAGGTGGAGTTGATGGTTGATTTCAAGATCTGATAAGTTCAAAGAGGGAAAATGAGTAAGAATTCAGTCCCTTTCTCTCCCATTTACCATATACACTTATTTGTTAATTAGCTTCAAAAGCATTTGATTCATTCTTACTATATGTCAGGTCCTGTGTAGTGTGGTGGAGATCTAGTGGTAAGTAAGACAGAGTCCCTGCCCTGAAGATGTTTGCATTCTGGTGAGATACATAAAAAACTAATTTGATCGTACAGTGAGATCAGTGTTTTGAAGGAGGCAAGTATTTAGATTATATGCAGGTCTTCAGGCAGTGGGAACAGGTTAAAAGAAGCGTGGTGCATTCAGAGAACTTTAGGTCTCCATTAGAGTTAGAGGGTGAAATGTGTATATGAGGAATAGTAAGAAATAAGGCTTGGAGTAAGCAGGGCCAGATTTTGAAGGACCTTGTGACCAACTTTAAGGTTTATACTTCCATTGCCCTCTCCCCATATGAGTAATCCCTTTCTGATGTGCTACTCATAATGGTGCGACTATGTAGGAGATCAATGTAGAGATATGTTCTGTAGGCCACAAAATGCCTTTTTTGATGAATACCACAATTGAAACTACACAGCTAATCTCTTTGGTAATGATTTTTTCATTGTAGATATTGATATCCATGTGGCTTTTCATCGTTAAATTGTGAACTCCTTAAAAATAGGGACTGTGGGCCGGGCGCGGTGGCTCACGCCTGTAATCCTATCACTCTGGGAGGCCGAGGCGGGTGAATCGCTCGAGGTCAGGAGTTCAAAACCAGCCTGAGCAAGACTCTGTCTCTACTATAAATAGAAAGAAATTAATTGGCCAACTAATATGTATGGAAAAAATTAGCCGGGCATGGTTGCGCATGCCTGTAGTCCCAGCTACTTGGGAGGCTGAGGCAGGAGGATTGCTTGAGCCCAGGAGATTGAGGTTGCTGTGAGCTAGGCTGACACCATGGCACTCACTCTAGACAGGGCAACAAGTGAGACTCTGTCTCCGAAAAAAAAAACAACCAAAAAAAAAAAAAATAGGGACTGTGTTTTATTCACTTCTGTATCTTTAGCATCTAATAGTAACTAAGTAAATGAAAAAATGTCATTTTATGTGTTAGTCTAGAAACCTAAAGACAGTTGTCATACTTTTTCTTTGGAAAACAAAGTTCAAGCTTTTAATAACTGAGCTTACAAACCACTCTGAATTTAAGATTACCTGTCTTGGAGTAGGGAAAAATTACTAAATAGAAAAGTTGAGGGTTTGTATTGTTTAATTATAAGAACATTCATCACTTAGCAGAAGAATTCAGTACAGATTTTGGTCAACTATGTTTAGTTTGAAATTTTTATTCTTCCTTTGAATATAGACATATGAAGAAGATCGAAGAAACTACTCTGAACTTCAAATTAGATGTCAACGTTTGGCATTAGAATTAGCAGACACAAAACAATTAATTCAGCAAGGTGACTACCGTCAAGAGAACTATGATAAAGTCAAGAGGTAAGTAATTAAGTTGGCTATAGTATAAATAGCTGTTCTCATTTTCTCAAATTCAGGTGTCAAAGTCACCTGAATTTTTACCGTGAATCATTAATTTTACTTTTACCTTATTCTTTATTGCACAAAAGCATGTAGTTTTGGCAGTTTGTTGGGTTTATATTGATTTTCACTTTGGCTGTTTTTATTTTATTTAGAAGTGGCTATTGTCTTTTAAAATGTAAATGAAGGTAGGAAGCTGTAAAATCCCACATGTGTAAATACTTTTTAAATGTTATTTGATGATTATTTTTATGTAATGTAGTCAATTTAAATATTTTGCAGTTTTTCCTGAAGTATTTTTAGCTGTTTCTTTCTGACAAAAGGCATACACTTTCAAAAAGGGACACTTTTGAGAATATATGTTTCTGTGTTGCTACTAAGCAGCTATGGCAAATATCTTCCTTTAACTGGAACATACTTTTCTGTTGTTTATACAGTAATTTAGTGAACCACTACTTAGCTGTATGTTCCTTCATATACTTCTTTTCATTCTGAGCGTAAGTTGTGTCATCTATGAGATGGTGCTAACATAAATAACTACACTGTATAAACTAAGATCAAATAAAGAAATATTTATGAAAGTCTTTTAATATATGTATACTATATATGTATAAACGGAGTGACCTTATTTTAACTGTTCACTGCTAAATCTACCTGCACCTGAAATAATTCTTGAAATAGAGTACTTACTCGATGAATATTTGTTAAATGAATGAATGAATGAATGCTTTAAATTATATAACTTAAATTATAAATTATATGATACTGTAAGTGAATTTGCAAATATTGGGGCATAGAACATTAGAACTTCTACTCTCATCATGACCAACAGAGTATGTATTATTATGTATGCATTGTAATGTTAAAATATTATAATTATTGGAGCTTGAAACCCAATGAGAGCCATATTTAGTGGGCTTATGAATAAAGCTGGATTTCAAAATAAGCATTTAAAAATAAGTAGATTGTGATGGTAAGATCATACTTTGAGTTAGTATTTTGATATCCCCTCTGCCACTATAAATCTATAGCAATGATAGATGAAATATAAAAGAGAAAAGTAAAAAGCAATAGTTATCAGAATAATCTAGCAGGGCCATAAATGAAGGATAAATGAATCAAAATGAGTCATAAGCTGATAAATGTTGAAGTTGGGTGATGGGAACATTGGTATTCATTATATCATCTCTATTTTTATAGATGTTTTCATTTTCTATAATAAAAACCTAGGAAAGAAAAACATAGCCTTGATCAAAAAAGCATGATAAGCATCTTCATGTGCTAGAAATGGAACGGAAAAACAAGCAAGAAGGGCTCAAACTGTGAACCTTTTGGTTCACTCAGTAAAATGAATGAGTTAAAAAAAAATGGACAGGTCACAAAAAAGGTAAATTGGGGAAGGAAAAAAAGTACTTTTATGTCCTTGATGAATTCTCACAAATGTGTAAAAGGAAACAGATACATGTATTCTAATTGCATCATTACTAGAAAGAATTCAAATGCTTTTCAGGAGCAGAATGGAAAATAAATTATGATTTATTTCTATTCTATGTAACAATTAAAATCATTAAATCTGAATATATACATATATATATTTTTTAGCAGTTCTTTACTTTCTGGCATAACATAATATTCCTAATTTTGTTTTGTAATTTCATTGCCTCAGCCCTTTCTTTAAGGAGCCTTGATTTCTTTTAGTGGGGGAAAGATTTGGGTGCTGTGGTCATTACTACATTGGTTATTGTTTCTAGGCCCTTTCAGTAGACAGAGGCTGTGGAAGGGGGGAAGAAGGAGGAGGCTTAATGTACTATGGATGAAATCATACTGATAATCTAATTTCAATTCGGTACCACAGTAGCCAGTTTGAAGAGGCTCCATCTGGCTATATAATATAGTGAAACTTGAATATTAAAATGCATATTGACAATAATGAATTATAATCCACTGAATAGAATACGAATTCATGAGTACATGCTAATAACAAATAAATAGGGAAAGAGGATCTTTATAGTAGAATGCCAACAATAAATGTATATACATATTAGAATGACCATTTTATATAGCCTCATAATATTTGATTCAGCATCATCAATGGAATCTAAAATCTTGAATGAAAGTATGTTAGAGAACAGGATATTTACATAGTCTCCAAGTATTTCTTTACAGATTGCTTATCAGTTGTAAAGGGCAAAAAGATACTTTTACAGTTGAGAACTTTGGCAGACACCACCTTAACCAAATGATCAAGTTACCATCACTAATACTGGGATAAACTGACATCATTTGCATCTTTATGTGATATACTGAGGACACATTATCACTTCTATAGTATTCTTGCCCAAAATGTTTAACCTGAATCTAATTATGAGGAAGCATCAGAGAAATGAAAATTGAGAGACATTCTGTAATACACTTTGGCCTGTGCTCTGTAAAAAGTCACTAAAGACAAGGAAACCTAAGGAACTATTCAAGGTTAAAGAGATTAAAGGCACATGACATCCAGATGCAATGCATGATAATAGACTGGATCAGGGAAAAAATTGCCACAAAGGACATTTTTGGGACAGTTGACAAAATTTGAAAACAGATTATATACTAGATAATATTGTATTAGGGCTAAGACTCCTGGATTTGATAATTATGCTATGATTATATAAGAGAATATATTTTGTCTTAGGAAATTTACATTGAATTATTTAGGTGTAAAGGAATGTAATGTCTGCATATAAATCTTAAAATAGTTAAAGGAAAAAATGCATAAGTATGAGTACGTGTGTATATGTGTAGGTATATATTCATGCATATATATTTGTGGTATATATATGTGTGCATGTGTTTACAGAACAGGTTTTAAAGGTGCATAGATTTTTTAAACTAAACTCCCATCTAAAATACAGTGGTAAACAGGATACAGAACTGCTTATACTGAAGACTGACTTATGTGTTCATAGACATGAGTTCTGCAGGGCAGACTACAGAACAGGAGTATTTGCAGATTTTAGTACAGGAGTTAGGAGGTGTGCCTGGAACCAATCACCCATGTATACTGAGGGACAACTGCATATATTCATTCACATATATTTACAAGAGAGAAGAAGTGAATAAATACAACAAAGTAATATTTGATAAATATTACAAAGCAAATATGACAGTGTTAACAATTAATGAGTAAAAGCACTACAAAGAACCACACATGGTATGGAAACCCACTAAATTTATCATTGTATCTAGGGAGATGGTATAGGAACAGTGAGAAAAATGTAGAGGACTTCAAGTTTACCTGTAATGTTTTTATCTTTAAAAAAGTAAAATAGGTCGGGCACGGAGGCTCACGCCTATAATCCTAGCACTCTGGGAGGCTGAGGCGGGTGGATCCTTTGGGCTCAGGAGTTTGAGACCAGCGTGAGCAAGAGCGAGACCCTGTCTCTACTAAAAATAGAAAGAAATTAGCTAGACAACTAAAAATATATAGAAAAAAATTAGCCAGGCATGGTGGTGTGTGCCTGTAGTCCCAGCTATTCAGGAGGCTGAGGCAGAAGGATCACTTGAGCCCAGGAATTTGAGGTTGCTGTGAGCTAGGCTGATGCCATCGCACTCTAGCCTAGGCAACAGAATGAGATTCTGTCTCAAAAACAAAAAAGTAAAATAAAACCTTATGCAAATATAGGCAGATAGTAACCGTGGTTAACTTTGGTTAGCAAGTTCATGGATATTTTGCTATATCCTGCTTTCTGATACATTTTTATATTTAAAAAATCACAGCAAAGAGGGCAGGATCATTACTGTGAAAATAAAAATATATGCATGTGAAAGCACAAAATACTTTTAGTAATATGTACCAAAATATTAATACTGATAGTCATCTTTAGTTAGTGGTTTATGGATGACTGTAATTTTTTAACTTGTGCATTGCTCAGTTTTCTTCAATAAACATAATACTTTGTTAACCAGAAGGGGAATAAAAACTTTCTACAAGAGTTTTTGTAAAGCTGGTAAAAAGAAAAACAATTCTTAATAGCCTTCTCCTTGGAAATACCAGGTGGGTCAGTGATATAAAGTGCAAAGGCACTGCTTCTGTCTACAGAGGAGCAGTTAATAATTGGCAAATCTATTTCTCTTCTCATTTGTTAAGATGTCTCTTATAGCTTTGGGTCCAATTCTTGGTTTTACTGTTTTGGGTAGAGAGCTGATCTGAAAATGGAAATTAAAATTTCTGTGTAATCATAAACAATTTGTGAATGAAGTAGTCAGGAGAATGCCTGCCTACATATCTGCTATGCAATCTGAATGATAAGTTGTGAGGGTATTTTGACTCTAACAGAACTGAAAGCCTAGAGCCATGTATAAATTCTTTAAAAGTTTTGGCTTTAAGATAAGATTGAAGATGATTAGTGAAAAAATACCAAAGTGTACCATAGAAAGTTTTATTATTTACTTTACTGGTTAGTGCACTTTATATATTTATTTCTTAAAAATAATAAATTGATATATGTATCTGGACAAAGTCTTGAACAGAGTTTCTTCTAAATTTGAGAAATTGTTACTTTATAGTTTATAGTATGACACTAAAGCCCCATTGCTAGCATCTCTGTTCAGTTTTCTGATACATAGTCAACTTTTTAAAAATATTCACTGTAGACCTGGCACAGTGGCTCATGCCTGTAATCCTAGCTCCCTGGGAGGCCGAGGCAAGAGAATAGCTGGAGCTCAGGGATTCAACACCAGCCTGAAGAGCAATGATACCCTGTCTCTGCCAAAGAAAAACAAAAAAATAAACTGTTCACTGTAAAAAGGGATGCAAAATTTACACATGTATTTAAATTTTATTTTAATAGTGAACGTGATGCACTTGAACAGGAAGTAACTGAGATTAGGAGAAAGCATGAAATACTTGAAGCTTCTCACATAACTCAAGCTAAAGAAAGAAGTGAATTATCAAAAGAGGTAAGCTTATAAATAGAATCACTTATTATTTTATTGTACAGTATTAGTGGAAAACAGCCAGGGTGGAAATATGAGCGGGAAATTTTTTCTTTTTAATGTAGTTGCACAAATGTAGTTTAATGTAGTTGTACAAAAAGAGACTTTTAGTAGCTATTTGTGGATAGCAAGTTGCAAGGGAAGAATTAACCCTTTTTAAGAGAATTTTTATGTGATGAGTAAAAACATCCATGGAAGAAATTAATACAGTCAACCTCAAAAAGTAAGATGGCATTACTCTGGACACTTTCTCTGCGTATACATAGGTAACCACCTTACAGCAGACTGTTACTTTGCTGCAAAAGGATAAAGAATATCTCAATCGCCAAAACATGGAGCTTAGTGTTCGCTGTGCCCATGAAGAGGATCGCCTTGAAAGACTTCAGGCTCAACTTGAAGAAACGAAAAAGGCTAGAGAAGAGATGTATGAAAAATACGTAACATCCAGGCAAGACTTACATTATTTTCCACGTAAATATATGTAAATTAACACCATCTTCTTTGAGGAAACTCTTAGCTTTGAGGAAGATTAATGATTTTGTTAAGGTCTATAGGACAGTATTAAGATAATACTTAATTTTATTTCCCTATAAGGTATTTTTTTCTAGTTGATTTTTAAAAAGACATTGTGGTTTTTCCAACCATACCAAAAACCTGTTTCTTTTAGATAGAGAGATATATACTATAACTATTTTTTCTTGTGACATAATATTTTTAATTCCCTGTCACTAAGATCTCTATGTTAGTATTTATTTTAAAGAAAATATGTAAATATTTCTATAGAATTGCCTTTTTGAAGAAAATCTGAGTATGCTGACAATTCCTGACTGTGTGAAATGTAAAAGAAGAATAGGAGGCAGTATTGCATACTGCTTTAAGTTACGGGCCTTCAAAACAGACTCTCCACATTTTAATCCTGCCTTCTCTCTTCTGCAGGATGTATGTAAACTACTAAAGTTCCTTTATGCTAATAACTTTCATAATTCTTGAATTATTTATTTTTATCAGCATATCAAAAACCAAAACAGTCTAAATTTTACCTTTAACAGTTCACACATTCATAACTTTTTCCCTAGCCTATAGTATTTTTTCATATTCTGTGTAATTTTGACTTTGCTAAAAGATCACAGTGTGGCTATAGTTGGCGTGCTTGAAAGGAAAAGTTTTGTAAAGACCTAGTTAAAGTCATTTTATTTTTCTGTATTTGTTATATTATTCATTCTCAACGTGCTCAGTGCCAGATTATTAATTTCAAATGAGAGACATTTATATAGAATGCATCAGTTTTCATGTCTTAGCTATATGCATTAAAAGCTTTAAGTAAAGTACTTTTGGAAATGAATAATTATCCAAAAAGAATCACGAACATTTTATATAGTTATTAAGCCTTTGGGGCAATATGTTTAATATGTTAAGATCTTAGAAAATACTGGTTTGGAACGATATTTTTAGGAATTATAAAACTTAATAGTTACGTTTTTCAAGTAACATCGTATTAATAAACATAAGAAACATTAAAATCTTGTATGGAGGGCAAAAGCATATTTGTTTTTTGCTTTTTTTTCTTTTTTTGTGAGACAGAGTCTCACTCTGTTGTCTGGGCTATAGTGCTGTGGTGTCAGCCTACCTCACAGCAACTTCAAATTCCTGGGCTCAATCAATCCTACTGCCGCAGTCTCCCAAGTAGGTGGGACTACAGTCATGCACCACCATGCTCAGCTAATTTATATATATAGTTTTTGTTTTGTTTTGTTTTTAGATGTCCAGCTAATTTCTCCCTTCCAAGTACTAACTCGGCCCGACCCTGCTTAGCTTCCGAGATCAGACGAGATCGGGCACTTTCAGGGTAGTTTGGCTGTAGACTGTCCAGCTAATTTCTTTCTATTTTTTTAGTAGAGACGGGGGTCTCGCTCTTGCTCAGGCTGGTCTTCGAACTCCTGAGCTTAAATGATCCTCCAGCCTCAGCCTCCCAGAGTGTTAGGATTACAGGCGTGAGTCACCATGCCCAGCCAAGCATATTTGTTTTAAAAAAATTTATGGATATTCTTTTTGACTCCTTGCAGAGACCATTATAAAACAGAATATGAAAATAAACTACATGATGAACTAGAAAAAATCAGATTGAAAACTAATCAAGAAATTGATCAACTTCGATGTGCCTCTAGGGAAATGTATGAACGGGAAAACAGGTAAAAAAAAAAAAAAAAGATGCTGTGGGGGATTTTATTTATCTTTGTTTGGAGATTATAGTTTTATTGAAATTAAATGTTGTTTCTCTCAAATAAGGTCTTTTTAAATGCATTGAGGAAAACTTGTCATAAATATAATGAGAACATCAATGTTCTAAAGTCTTTGATAGCTGGCTTAGAACAGGATTTACCAGAGCTAGGCCTTTTTGCTCTGGTATCTCATTATCTCATTTTTACCCTAGAAACTTATCTTTTTGCTTTCACCTCAGTTTCAATTGGGGATAGAAATTAAAAGAAAATTAGAGGGTACTAAGAGATACCAGTAATTCTTCCTGTAATATGCCAATGATTTCTCCTGGAAACTTTTAAAACTAGAATAGTAATATGAAATATTACATTTGTTTCATTTAGGGCTGCCCATAAAAAATGTCACATTAGGTAATCCTAAAGAAATATCATTTTTATTCATGTAGTTACTTTTACATCACTATATATTATGTTCCCCTATTTTAGTGATTGGCAGTTTTAGGAGAAAGTAAAAGCTACTTATTTCAATGGCAGTTATTTTTGCATAGCATTATTATTGTTTGTGTGGCTTTTGAAAATTTATATTTTAATGTGAAAATTATTTTTTAATTGACTTAATTGTCATACTAGTTTATCAGCAGTGATTTGAGTATATGATATTTTAATTTTAAGTCATTTTTTTCAGCATGACTTTAAATCAGACTTAATCTATAATTATTATCATAACATGTCATTTCTAGCAGGAGTAGCAGAAAATTTGGTATGTCTACTCCTCAATTTCAGAAGATAAAGCTACTCTATATTAATAGTATTTATAAGTTGGCCTCTACTATAAAAACTAAATATGTAGAATTATCCTTTGGTAATAAATTGGAAAAAATATTTTTAAAATTACTGTTAAATTATTATGTTGATACAGCAGATTGGAAAATATTTTTAGTATAATGTCTCTGAGTGGTATAATTTGTTTTTGGGTTTCTTTTGTGAAAATGTTTGGTGATAAGGAAGTAGATATACAATTTATGACAAAACTTTTTAAGGATATTTGTTTAGTATGACTTGGTACTCATGAAGCAAATGAAAAATTAAATCATTATTTTCCTCATAAATTTAGCATGCATAGAAAGTCTACATAGAAGTATATACACAATAAAATTAATACAAATGTTAGGCACTGAACAAAAGAAAAACATTCACATGTGCATTTAACAAATATTTAGTGATTATATTCTATTTTTTTGTTCTTATTTGAGCTACAAAATAATTAGGATATAATCCATAATTATATTTACAATGAAAATGGCAAAGAATTTAAATTATAACAATTCTAAGTGATCATTCAATGCTATCTTATTGGTAGACAAACTAAATATATGATTTGGGCAACAGCAAAGCAGGAACAGAAAATATATGTTTTTTGAAAAATTTGTGATATATTAACAAGAAAAAAACAACATTTTTGTCTTGGGAAAAATAACGCTTCTGGGTTTCTTTACGCTTCGTTTATATTTTAATATTGAATTTTGAATTACTAGTGGGAGCACTGTAATCTTTTCTGTGAATAAGGCATCTGAAGTTCCTAAGCTAGCCTTCATATCCTGAATTCTGAGAAGATATTTTTCAATGTGGCTCAAAGAAATGTTGAACCACTATTTAAATAGCATTTTTTTTAGTTTAGTTACTATGTTATGATTGTTCTCTTTTTTTGACCACGTACTTATTTGCATATAGGTATATGTAAAACAACAGATGTTCAGAAAAACTTTTTAAATGTTCATTTAATAATTATAAATTAAATACTATTTACCCATGATCCAAATCAAGAAATAGAACCCACAAAATGTGCTTTGAGACCTTCCTCGTTTAATTCCTTCCTTCCATAAGGGTAACTACTATTCTGACTTTTATGCTAATAATTTCCTTGCTTTTCCTTATATTCTTATTTATCTATGTTACCAGTAAATAAGCATCTGTGCACAATTTAGTTTAGTTTTTCTTATTATATTAGTATCATATAAATGGACTCATGCTGTATATATATTTTTGTGGCTTCTTCACTTAATCCTATGATTATAAGATTTATATGCTGTTGCACCTAGTGGTCCCTTCATGTTCATAACAAAATTATGACAGTTTTTTGAATGTGTATGCTTAGAGTCATTAGGAGATTAGAGAGATTAGAGAGAGATGCATGCAGAGAGATTAAAGAATTCCAAAGACATTCTTCATCTTTTGCAAAATGTTTTTGGTCCCAGCCCTATATTAAGAAAGAAGGATCCCATACCTATGGTCACTTGCTCTTAGGCTTTAAAATGCAGACAAAGAGCTATACACCTATTATATGCTAAATTTATGTTAGAAAATTTTTTATGTTTGAGCTCTTATGTAATTCTCAACAAATTGACATATTTAGCAAATATTTATTGAGACCTAGCATATGCCAGCTACATGGTGGGTGCCATAGATGCTATGGGGACCTTTGCCTTCACAAAGCTGGTAGTCTAATGGAGGATAAAAACAAATAGAGAAATAATTTTCGTAAGTATAGTGATTATGGAGAAGGTGACAGGATACAAAGGATAAGACCATCTTTATAGCTAACTCATTCTTGGGAAGAATCAGGGAAGACTCATAAATGAAGAAATACTCATCCTGGCACCTTGTGATGACTAAAACTACAAATTAAGGGAGGGAGGGAATTGGGGAAATATACAGCATATATAAAAACCGAGAAAAACAGCCAAGAGAGCCATTTCTGCAAGCAGAAAAGCTGAAAACAGGTTTCCTTGTCCACTCCCCAGTGCTTTTCTGGCCCCATCACACATCAAAATTCACCTAACCAAGCATTTCCGGGGATTGGGGCTGCCCTGGATCCCTCAGGCAGCCACAGGACCCAGAATTGATCCCATGGAAAGTGAGGCTAGAATAAGCAGTTACCACCAGGTGGTGCCAAACTGCAGCCTGAACCGGATGAATTTGAATTGCACAAGAACACCTCACCAGCTAGTTGCAAAGGCTTGCCTTTATCATTTTAACCTCACAATAATCCAGCCCTTTATTTTATGTGACTAAATCTTTTGAATCATAGTTTCTTCATTGTGGCAGGATTTAACTGAAGTTAGAGCTTTTGTCCTTCTAGTCTTCCACAAGGTAAAAATAAATTGTAAGTCATTTCTTTTGAAATCTTAGAACTTAAAATGGTTAAGGAAATGATTTTAATATTTCTTGTTAAAAAAACATGAAGTTCAGAACAAGTTTACACATTTAGGATTTTTTGTATCTGAGTAAATTAATCTTTTGCTTTGTTTGGACTTTGTATCATTTCGTTAACCACTTGTATTTTATCAAGGTGTGTGCTATTACGGTGATATGAGTTAAAATGGATAAAGTATTAATATTATATTTACATTTGCATATTCATACTTAGTCTCCTTAACTCTCCCCCCAATAAACATTTTTAGAAGAAAGTGAAATGGTAAGATGTGAAAAATAAATTTTGCCTTTAGTTTGCTTCCTGTACATTGGAGGATGTTAAGAGAGTGCTTTTTAGTTTCTCTTCTTGAATATGGAAAAAAACAGGTGAAATTCATGCCTTCCAATCTCGGTATCTGTCCCTGCAGTCATTCTGTTCATTTCTGAAGTTAAGGAATTGAGAGAGGATAAAGAGGGTAGAAGTGAAGACTTAAGGAAAAGCAGAGATAAGCAAAGTGAGAACTTGGGTATTTAGATACATCAAAAATACTATACTTGGAATGAAAATGTTCATGTATGCTTTGGCCTAATCTGTGAATTAGGCTTCTTATCTTTTTCTATACTTCATAGTTACTTTATAATGCCAGTTTGGAGTTATGGGAAATAATGAGTGAAACTCACTATAGTGGTGATTTATATGTAAAGAACTTCTTCCTTAAAAGGTATTATGTGACTGAAATGTTATGGACCTCTTACACAATTGGAAATAAGACATTATTCCATGAACAGGAATATATTATGAAAGAGATTTGGATCAAAAGACTGAACTTAAATCCTTACTCTACCAGCTAGGATTTAATCCTAGCTGAGTGGATAAGTCACTTATTATCCCCGAAGTTTAATTTTCTCTTTTTAAAAATGAGCGAGCACAGCCAGGTACAGTGGGTCATACCTTTAATCCTAGCACTCTAGGAGGCCAAGGAGGGAGGCTCACTTAAGCTCAGGAGTTTGAGACCAGCCTGAGCAAGATTGAGACCATGTCTCTACTAAAAATAGAAAAAATTAGCCGGGCGTGGTTGCACGTGCCCATAGTCCCAGCTACTTGGGAGGCTGAGGCTGGAGGATCGCTTGAGCCCAGGAGTTTGAGGTTTCTGTGAGCTAGGCTGACACCATGGCACTCTAGCCCAGGCAACAGAGTGAGACTCTGTCTCAAAAAAAAAAAAAAAATTTAAAATGAGCTAGCTAATGATAATACTTAACAGGGTAGCCTATGATGTCTAAATGAGATAATATTTGTGAAAAGTACATTATAAATTATAAAGTTATATATAAATGTAATTATTTGGATACCTTGTGCTTACAGGTGATACTTAAAAGAAAATTCATTTATCCATTATGTTGACAATTTAAATAAAATGAGCATAATATAAAAGTCAACTGATAACATTATGGAATTATTTATCATTATCATAAAGCACTATTACAAAATATATAGTTAGAGTTGGCAACAATAACACAAAAAATATATATAGTCTTAAGTCTATCTCCATAGCATTTAATTATTTTTCTTAAATGACATAGAGGGTATATATATATGCCTTTTATTTGTCTAAATTTCTGCATAAAATCACTAATTTATTTGTTTCCTAATTAATACTGTGAGAAAATTAAGGGAGATAAATTCAACTGATTGTTTAAGTTATTCCAGAAAATAAAGTTACCTTTATCTAAGATAGTCTTATTATTGTATACACAGAACTATTCCGAGTGTTACTATAGAA